TCAGGGTGTCCAATAGGGTGTTCTTTGCTTTTGTTTATGAAATGGTACAGGCTGGTAAAACCATAATTGTGGATTTCTTCACTGCAGTAATGTAATATGGGCAGATAGCGGTAGTCCTCACCTCAAAAGAGCATCCTTAGGCAAGAGAGGCTGAAGCAGCTGGGCCTCGTTTAAGAAATCTGCAAGCTCCCTGTCTGTTTCTATCATCACCTCCCACTCGTGCTCCCAGAGGGTCCTCACTACAAAACCAACTCTTTTGAGGCAGTCGGTCTTGAGCTGTGTCTTGTAACAAAGAAACCCCAAAGTTGTCCCTGTCATTGTCAAAAACCCTGTGATTTTTCACAATAACAGGTGACATGGCCATGGAAAAACCACCCGCTGAACTCAAAGGCTGCCATCAATGACGATGTAACCATCCGGAAAGTAGGGGCCTACCTGTAATTCCCCACCCTGTAAAGCATGCTGTATCTGTATGCGACCCCCGAGCGGTCGGCGTCATGCTCAAATAAATTGGTTAGTCTCTAAGGTGCCACAAGTACTCCTTTTCTTTTTGTATCTGTATAATTTCTTTGTGAGTGGTACACAACAGCCACTGACTAGAGGGGGGTCGAATATCTCTTTTTCTGCCTGTGGTGGGCTGCAAAAACATAAAGCCGTATATAACGCTGGCATCTGTCTGCATGGCTATGTGCCGGAAAGGATCTATACACAATTTTACCGCTGTGAATTTACCGGGGCCTCTATCTGCAATATCTCCCCTCTCTGTCATTTTCATGGTCTCTTTTCTGTACAGGAATACTGGCCCGTCTCAAAATTTTGACATCCTGCTGACAATAATATGCAAACTCTTTCTGCAAGTCAAATGGCTCATATCTGTTGTTCCAATACCAGTCAAGAAATTCTGCTTTCTCCCTGGGCATCATAAGAACATAAGAACGGCCATACTAGGTCAGACCAAAGGTCCATCTAGCCCAGTATCCTGTCTTCAGACAGTGGCCAATGCCGGGTACCCCAGAGGGAATGAATAGAACAGGGCAATTATCAAGTGATCCACCCCCTGTCGCCCATTCCCAGCTTCTGGCAAACAGAGGCTAGGGACACCTCCCCTGCCCATCCCGGCTAATAGCCATCGATGGACCTATCCTCCATGAATTTATCTAGTTCTTTTTTGAACCCTGGTATAGTCAACATCATAGTGCTCCACCCAAGCATAGGCCCCACGTAATTTTGGTTTTCTAAAGTGTTAAAAAAAATGGGGGAAATACCCTTTGCAACCTTCAAATCCTATCGCCTGCAGGAGCTTGCTAAGCTTCAAGGGCAAGATGTTTAAAGAGTCTATAAAGCAAATGCCCAGGGCCTTAACTTCCACACACACATTACTTTACAACCCTGAGCGATCAGTTCTACGCACATCTTTTCCTTCCATAACTGTCTAACGACAAAGGACGCATCGTAACCTTTGGAATTGTGCGCTAGGAACGTGTAGTCCTGGAACTTTTTGCCAATAAAGGTCTTAACAAAGGGAAGAAAGACACTCGCCGCCCTTAAAGTCCCAGGAGTTTCCCGGCTTTAGGGACATAGCAAAAACGTAATTGGGCACATGCAACCCCGTCTCCTGCGTGCATTCAAAATTGTAAAAAATATACTTTTCTGATGATTCCGGCTTCCTAAGGCTGTCCATAAAACACAGGCGGCTGTCGACATCACCGCTGATCAAACCCTGACACTGCTTACAACGCCTCCCTTTACACCGGTGCCCCTTGTCCACGTAGGGCTGACACTTACCACACAAAGTTTTAGACGGGCGTTCGACTTGTTTTTTCGATGAGCCGTCGACGTGTCTGTCTAAACACGCGTTGGAGCGACAGTACGGTCTACAGCTAGGACACCTCAGCTGCATGCTCACGCTGTCTGAGCGTGTTACGCTCACGCCGAGGCGGCAACGAGGCCGGCCAGAGTGCCCACGACTGTACGCCCCGTGGCAAAACTCATCATAATTTTTCACACCGAACAACTTTTTCACGTCCAGAACCCCATAGTAATGCTCATCGTGCAACAGGATGAAAAAAGTCTTGGGGTACGCTGGGCCCCCCATTTAAAAAACAACCCACCCCGTCTTTCGCCACGTAAAGCACCGTCTGTATGCTGTCTCCTAAATGCTGTTCAAAGGCAAGAACCCAGCCACAAAACAAAGACCGGTACCGGTGTAAGTCAGGTCTACTCAACACGGTCTCTTTTTATGGGTGATTTGACCACTGAGGACAGAATTTAAAACTCTACGGCCACCCCATGCCCATGTTTTTTACAACTGTCACAATGAGGTGCAACGTCCCATCGACATGCATCTCTCTATTACTCGACCAGCTTTCAGGTCTGATTGAAGAAATCTTCAGCAGACATGTAGGTGACTTTAGCTTAGCTATGTTAGGCCTTGGAGACAAGAAATAATGACTTAAACCGGTGACAGAGAAATAACCCAGTGCCCTAAGATTATGGGAAAAGAGGTACCAAGTGGTAATATTGCACAAAATTAACCAGAAGATTAATATTAGATCATAAAAATACCGTAAAGTCACATCCGTTTCCGACATGTGTCTTAAACCACACCAAGACAAACCAAACCAGCCAAACAGAGAGGACTTTGGTTTTACACCACTGGCTAACCACAAGTCACACAAGCAATTCCCTTAGACACCCCAGTTTCCCAGTATCCCCACCAGGGCCACTCGTCATGGGGACGAATGGTTATGAAAACCAATACCCCAGTAAAAGAAAAAAGGTTCCCTCGATCCCAGAGGACCAAGCCCCAGACCCAGGTCAATATACAAAGCAGATCTTACCCACAAATCACGCTGTGGCCAATCCTTTCGAAGCTAAAATCTAAAGGTTTATTCATAAAAGGAAAAAGATAGAGATGAGAGCTAGAATTGGTTAAGTGGAATCAATGACATACAGTGATGGCCAAGTTCTTGGTTCAGGCTTGTAGCAGTGATAGAATAAATGGCAGGTTCAAATCCAGTCTCTGGAGAACATCCCCAGCTGGGATGGGTCATTCAGCCCTTTGTTCAGAGCTTCAGTCTGTAGCAAAGTTCCTCCAGAGGTCAGAAGCAGGATTGAAGAAAAGATGAAGGGGTTTCCAGGGCCTTTTATATTCTCTGCCTGTGGAAGGACCCCCTCTTTGTTCTTACTGTGGAAAATCACAGCAGCAAGATGGAGTCTGGAGTCACATGGGCAAGTCACAGGTCCATGCATGACTCAGTTTGCAGGCCGACACCATTGTTTACATGTTAGTTTGAACGTTCCCAGGAAAGCTCAGATGTGGATTGGCGTCTCCCAAAGTTCACTGTCAGTTAAGTGTTTCTTGATTGGGCACTTACTGAGAATAGTCCCTTCTCAAGCAGCTGACCAAATGCTTCCCTGCGGCTACTTGGAATCAAATACATTTGAGATACAAGTACAGAGCCCATATTCATAACTTCAAATACACAAATGTTACACACAGCTAGCATAATTATAACCTGCAAATCATAACCTCTTCAGAGACACTGCACACAACAACCTTTGTACAATATTTGCTGCAAATATATAACAGTGGTTGCAACAATGATCTATACGGTCACAGTTTATGTCAATAATGTCACACACATGGTTTTAGATCCATTAAAAATTCTCCTTCCAGGTCTGTGACTCCTTCACATCCGGATGTAACGATTCTGGATTTAGGATCAAAGAAATCAAACCATGATTCCCAAGCACTGAGAACTCAGAACACTGGGTTATGGGGAACTATGGGTGGCGAAGGTATAGGATGTGAAGAAGATAAACTCTACACAGCTTAGACAGAAGCTAACGCAGTTGGGATGATGGGTGTGACGAAGTGGGAATGTTCTTAGTGTTTTCTCTGAATACTGTGGGTGCCTCAGTTTCCCCTAGGCATTTCTTAAGTATCTAGGTGGTCTGCACAGAGAATGGCCGACACCCTGTCTTCTGGCGATTGATGGCCTGGTCCCTTCCCCCCTGCAAGGTGCCAACTGAAGGTGTTGGAGAACAAAGGGATCAGGTGGCCTCCTGGCCCGGGAAAGAGACAAAGGCCAGAGGAGGGGCTGGAGAGTTTCAGTTTACAGCTGGCTGGGGAAATGGAGGGAGGCCCAGAACAGGGGTCTGGGCTCCCTACCCCCCAAGATGCACCTGACCGAGGGGTCCTGTTCTCTGCACCTACAAGCTCTGTTTTAGACCATGCTCCTGTCATCTAATAAACCTTCTGTTTTCCCAAAGGGGAAGTTGGTGACTCTAACAATCACTTTGCTATGGGAGAACGGTAGAAATGAGATCATAGAATCATAGAATCATAGAATATCAGGGTTGGAAGGGACCTCAGGACCCCAGGGTGCTCCAGGACTGTTTAGACAAGGAAAATTGATGGAGCACAGGTGAAGTTATGAATAAACGTGCTAGACAACTCCAACTGCTCTACATAAGCCATGTCTTCACTGCAAGGATAGTTGTGGTTTCACATCAAGCTAGCTAACGACACAGAAAATCCTCGTGGGGATGAGGCCCAACGAATTTTACTTCGATGGAGCTAGTTGGGGTCACTCCTGTCCCCCCACACTTGAAGCTCATGGACATTCCTGGTAGGAGGGAGTAGGGTGACCAGACAGCAAGTGTAAAAAATCGGGACGGAGGGGGGGTAATAGGAGCCAATTTAAGAAAAAGACCCCAAAATCGGGACTGTCCCTATAAAATCAGCACATCTGGTCACCCTACACGATTCACCCTCAGGAACGGTGAGCGGGCAGCCCACCTGAGAGAGAAAATGGGACACGCATAGTTCAACGAGCTTTCAAGAGGGAACTAGCCAAACGAAATAAATAGATAAAAAATGGTCAGCCCTAGAGAAGGTTTTTATGGTGTTTCTTTCCCTTGCAAAGCCTCTGATGATACGTTAGGGCTGAGTTCTCATGCAAGCTTTCCCCACATTTAGAGCGTCTGGAGCGTCTCTATGAGCTATGGAGCCTCTGATGTGTAATAAGGTTTGAGCTCCAAGTAAAGGTTTTCCCACACTCTCTGCATTCATAAGGTCTGGCTCCCGTGTGGGTTCTCTGATGGCTCCGAAGTGGTGAGCTGTCAATGAATTTTTTCCCACACTCGGAGCACGCGTAGGGTCTTTCTCCCGTGTGGATTCGCTGATGTGAAATAAGGGATGAGCTCTGAGTGAAGCTTTTCCCGCACTCACTGCATTCATGGGGTCTTTCGCCCGTGTGGATTTGCTGATGTTTCCTAAGCGCTGAGCTGTAAGTGAAGTTTTTCCCACAGTCAGGACATCCGTAGGGTCTCTCCCCTGTGTGAATTCTCTGATGCTTTATAAGGTCTGGGCTGTTGGTAAAGTTCTTCTTGCACTCACTGCATTCATAGGGTCTCTCCCCCGTGTGGATTCTCAGATGTGCAATGAGCTTTGAGCGGCTAATGAAGGTTTTCCCGCACTCACAGCATTCATGGGGTTTTTCCCCTGTGTGGATTCTTCGATGTGCCATAAGCGCTGAGCTGTTAGTGAAGGTTTTCCTGCACTCACTGCATTCATAGGGTCTCTCCCCTGTATGGATTCGCTGATGTGTAGTCAGGGAAAATCTCTGAGTGAAGCTTGTCCCACACTCAGAGCATATGTAGGGTCTTTCTCCTGTGTGGATTCTCTGGTGCGTAATGAGGTTTGAGCCCCGAGTGAAGCTTTCTCCACACTCACAGCATTCATAGGGTCTCTCTCCCGTGTGAATTCTCTGATGCCTAATAAAGGCTGATCTCCGAGTGAAGCTTTTCCCGCACTCAGCGCATGTCTTGTTTCTCTCTCCTCCCTGCATTTCCTGCTGGGCTGCAGTTTCTCTGAGGTATTTGTGCGGCCCACAACTATTAATGGGTTTATTCATTTTCTCACTTGGTTTGTTTCTCTGCCTCCTCTCCGGCCTGTGCTGACTCTCACAACTTTTTCCCCGCTCATGACTCCTGGAAACATCCTCTGGAGAGATTTTCAATAATCCCCCATGCGTTTCCACTTGCTCAGCATCTTCCTGCTGAGGTTTCTGCTCCTCATTCTCACTCACCGTCCCAGCACCTGTTGGCAGAAACAGGAGTGGAAAAGGGGAGATCAACCCATGTTGGACATTGGCTGCAGTGGAAGAGGTAATGGCAGAAGCTCCTCATGTCCTGGGAATCCCTAAACCCTAGGGCTTCAATGACACTCCTCACATGCTTTAAATTAAACTAGGGCTGTCCATTAATCGCCGTTCACTCACGCGATTAACTCAAAAAACCTAATCGCGATTAGAAAAATTAATTGCGATTAATCGCACTCTTAAACAATAGAATATCAATTGAAAAGTATTGAATATTTTTGGATGCTTTTCTACATTTTCAAATACGTTGATTTCACTTACAATACAGAATACAAAGTGTACACATGTCCTCTGGAACGGTGGTTGAAGCATGAAGGGAACATATGAATCTTTAGCACATCTGGCACATAAATATCTTGTGACACTGGCTACGAGAGTGCCATGCGAACGCCTGTTCTCACTTTCAGGTGACACTGTAAACAAGAAGCAGGCGGCATTATCGCCTGCAAACGTAACCAAACTTGTTTGTCTGAGCGATTGGCTGAAGTAGGACTGAGTGGACTTGCAGGCTCTAAAATTTTACATTGTTTTATTTTTGAACGCAGTTTTTTGGTACATAATTCTACCTTTGTAAGTTCAACTTTCATGATACAGAGATTGCACTACAGTACTTGTATGAGGTGAACTGAAAAATATTGTTTCTTTTGTTTTCTTACAGTGCAAATACTTGTAATCAAAAATAAATAAAAAGTGAGCACTGTACACTTTGTATTCTGTGTTGTCATTGAAATCAATATATTTGAAAATATAGAAAACACCCAAAAATATTTAAATAAATGGTATTCTACTGTTGTTTAACAGTGTGATTAATTACACAATTAATCATGATTAATTTTTTTAATCCCACGATTAATTGCGGTTAAATGTTTTAATCACGTGACAGCCCTAAATTAAACACATACTTTGGTGAATTCAGATTGGTAGGCTTGGGAGGATGAGATTTTTATCGGTAAATATCAATTTCACCGTAAACACAGAAACCAACAAAAATATTTCCATCAATAATCAGAATTTCAGACAGGCAAACTACGAAAAAGGCTGCTTGAGAACGTAGAGTTTGCTTTAAGAGTACTTACTTTGTATATTTTGACACGTGATGTTAATGGTTTGTTTTAACAGTTATAAAGTTTTAACTTTTCGAGTCTCAACAACTACGGTCATTAAATAATTATTGTCTGACACCCCCCCCTCCCCCACCAGCATTTCCTGCAATTGAAAATTTAAATGGCTGAAAATTGAAAACATGCTTAAAACCTGTAATTTCCCACAATTCTGAACATTTAAATCAATAAAAATGGGGGGGGGGGAGAATCTAAAAAATACGTTGAAAGCATAAAATAAAATTTGAATTCTGTCAAGCCTACAAGCTGGTGACCTAAAGGTAAAGTGCCCTTACTCAATTTCTATTCATCTCAGCTGTCTAGCCCTCTACCTTCACACTTTAATACACTGTAATCTGTGTTTTGTTCATCACATTAGAGACCAGACCCCTCAGCTTACACGTATAAGGGAAGTGTGTGATTGTGACCAAAGAGACCCTCAATGCCACCTGGCAAGGGGTACCAGAATATCCTAAATCCGGCATCTACATTCTGGTTCAACAGAGAACTGATGCGTTCTGCCACACCCATCCCAGGAAAGGAGCAGTGGAGAGGTCCTCCAAGCGGCCTAGAGTGGTTGCGAGGAAGCCCAGAGGGGCTGCTGGAACGGCCAATCAGGGGCCAGGAGGGCCATATAAAAGGAGCTGCAGAATGGCACAGCAGTTAGTTGCTGCTTGGAGCTGGAGAAGAAAGGATTGCATGCCTGGGTGGAAGAGCAGCAGGATGACAGATAGGTAAGTCTGCTTGCGGGGACCGGGGGAGCGAGAGGTGTTCCTGGCTGGCTGCTAGAACTAAGCCAAAAACAGTTTGCTAGCAGGGAGCGGGGGAGCAATGAAGCACTATTGTAGGCTAGTTTAATTAGCAGCTAAATTTTAGGGTCACAGACCAGGGGAATGAGAGGCTCCTGGCTGGCTGCCGGGAGTGAGTCGGGACTGAGCCTGGGGAAGGCCACAGGAAGATAGGGTCTCCAGGGAGGAAGGCCTGGGGATACAGCCCCATACCAGGGCTGGGCTGGTTTAAAGAATGCAGAGACGCCAAACCAGAGGGGGCGCTTGCGAGAGGTGGGTGCCGATCCCATTATAGAGCTCGTAAATGAAGCCAGGGTAATAAGAGCGGCCACACTGGATGAGAAAAATGGTCCATCTAGCCCAGTGTCCTGTCTTCCGACAGTGGCCAATGCCAGGTGCCCCAGAGGGAATGAACAGAACAGGGAATCATCAAGTGATCCACCCCCGGACACCCATTCCCAGCTTCTGGCAAACTGAGGCTAGGGACACCCAGGGCATTGGGTTGCATCTCTGCCCATCCTGGCTAATAGCCATTAGCGGACCTATCCACCATCAACTTATCTAGTTCTTTTTTGAACCCTGTTATGGTCTTGGCCTTCACAACATCCTTTGGCAAGGAGTTCCACAGGTTGACTGTGTGTTGTGTGTGTTTTAAACCTGATGCCTATTAATTTCATTGGCTGACCCCTAGTTCTTGTGTCATGTGAAGGATTAAACAACATTTCTGTATTCACTTTCTACACTCCAGTCATGATTTTATAGACCTCTACAATATTCCTGCTTAGTCGTCTCTTTTCCAAGCTGAAAATTCCCAGTCTTTATAATCTCTCCTTATACAGAAGCTGTTCCATACTACTAATCATTTTTGTTGCCCTTCTCTGCATCTCTTCCCATTCAAATGTTGTTGTTTTTTTTGAGATGGGGTGACAAGAATTGCATGCAGTATTCAAGATGTGGGCCTATGGATTTATACAGAGGCAACATGATATTTTCTGTCCTATCATCTATCCCGTTCCTAATAAATCCCAACATTCTGACAGTTTTTTTGACTACTGCTGCACATTGACCAGCTCTTTTCAGAGAACTATCCGCAATGACGCCAAGATTTCTTTCTTGAGTTCATTTAAAAAAGTTTCCATGCAGCTTGCAGGCATTTCACTTTTGAGATTGTACCTTTTCATTTTTGTTTAACTAATGTCCTCAGTTTTGTGTAGTTCCCCTTTTGAAATGGAGTGCCATGGTGGTGGGCTTCTTTGATACCACCAGGGATGTTAAATTTAATTCTTTAATGGTCGCTATTACCAAGTGATTCAGCTATAGTCACCTCTTGGACCAGATCCTGTACTCCACTTAGGAGTAAATCAAGAATTGCCTGGCCTCTCTTGTGGGTTCAAGGATTAATTGCTCTAAGAAACAGTCATTCATGGTGTCTAGAAACTTTATCTCTGGATCCCGTTCTGAGGTGACATGTACCCAGACAATATGGATATAGTTGAAATCTCCCATTATTATTGATTATTCATAGAATCATAGAAGATCAGGGTTGGAAGGGACCCCAGAAGGTCATCTAGTCCAACCCCCTGCTCGAAGCAGGACCAATTCCCAGTTAAATCATCCCAGCCAGGGCTTTGTCAAGCCTGACCTTAAAAACCTCTAAGGAAGGAGATTCCACCACCTCCCTAGGGAACCCATTCCAGTGTTTCACCACCCTCCTAGTGAAAAGGTTTTTCCTAATATCCAACCTAAACCTCCCCCACTGCAACTTGAGACCATTACTCCTTGTTCTGTCCTCTGCTACCATTGAGAACAGTCTAGATCCATCCTCTTTGGAACCCCCTTTCAGGTAGTTGAAAGCAGCTATCAAATCCCCCCTCATTCTTCTCTTCCGCAGACTAAACATCCCCAGTTCCCTCAGCCTCTCCTCGTAAGTCATGTGTTCCAGTCCCCTAATCATTTTTGTTGCCCTCCGCTGGACGCTTTCCAATTTTTCCACATCCTTCTTGTCGTGTGGGGCCCAAAACTGGACACAGTACTCCAGATGAGGCCCCACCAATGTTTATGTTTATGGCCTCTCTCATCTCCCTGAGAATTTCACGATCACTATCACCATCCTGGTCAACCAAAATAGTGCTGGAGAGCTGGAAATAAATCAGGGACTGAGTTTCCCCAAATCCTTTCCCACAGGGAGGAGGGGATCAATTCTGCCTGCCCAATCACCCACGGGGAAGGGAGGTCCAGGAGGAAGGTACTGCCAGGTGTCTCTCTCAATGGGCAGGAAGTCATAAGCGACATCCGCCCTGAGGATACAAACCTGCTGGGGACAATCCTGAACTCTGAGAACTCACAAGGTCTCGGTCAGGAATCCCAGCTGTGTCCTTCAGACGCTGACCGCTTTTTGAATTGATTTAATGATTCCTCGCCCGTCCTGGCACCGCTCAGGATCTCTTTCCTCTGAATCATGGAGATCTGTCCAGGAGCAACAGACTCTAGGTCCTCTGGAAAAGGAGACTATGAAGAACGGGAACTGGGCCAGGTGACCTCAGGAGGGACTGACTCCAAGAAAGCTGCAGGGAAGAGAGATCGTGGGTGCTGCAGATAGGGAAGGGAAAATACGACTTTGTGAATCCCCAGGCTCACTCCCAACCTAGGACATCCCCCGAGAAAGTCCACTTTTTGCCTGGGAAGGAGTCACCTTGCGGCTGGCAGGAAGGTGAGGAGGAGAAATCGTGGCTGGGGCCACCGTAGGCAGGGTGACGGTGGTGGTGGGGCACTCGGCAAGGCAGAGAGAGCAGTGAAAATGAGAATATTTGAGAAAAATTACAAAAAATAAAGTGCAAGTAGACAGTCCTAAGAGTGGAGACACGGGGTGCAGCCCCTAAATCAGCGACGGCTGTGTGGGGAGACTGTGGTAATGGGGTGGGATCCAGGCAGCTCCAGATCCCCCAAATCTCCCCGCTGCTTCCTGCCAAAGAACCTCCCCGCTTTCTCACTGTGATGCAGATGGAGCTGCTGTGTAACACTGAATCCTGTATGTTGACCTGGCCATTGGGATGTTTCCTGTATGGATACATTGGGTACGTTTAATAGGGGGCTGTAAGGAAAACAGGCAGGAAGGGAAGAGGAATAGCTCAAAATGAGCCATGCTTTGGCAAACATTTAAAAATGGTTATGAGACGATGCCCGGACTGTCAGCATCTAGTATTCTCTCCCCTAGCTCCAGCTAACACACAGGGGAGCAGGGCCAAAGTCTGGGCCAAACTGGAGTGGCATAAAGACAAACTCCATCTCAAGAGGGGGATGGCTGCTCAGGTAATTGGTAAGGGGAAAGAGACAGAGACATCGGGGGGCCCAGTGGGGTGTCTGAAGAAGTTAGGTCTGCTCTCAGGGATGCACAGGGTCTGGTGTATGTCCCAGCCCGTAACCAGTCCCCTGGGAGTGACCCCTTTAACAGGCCATGTGCTGGAGATCCACAGATTTCCACTGGGGCAGGCCTCTGGCAGTTAAGTCTGTGAAATGGGAGCCTTTGTACACCAGCTAACCCTGTTTCGCCCCATGGCTTCCTGCAGTGACTCCACCCTGCCCTGCTGGAGCCCTGGACCGGACCCCTTCAGGGTCCAATGCTCTCCTTGAGTACTTGGGGTGACACCAGGCAGCCTTTCAAAGCAGAGCGGGGTTTACACTCCAACTGGAGCACCGCATCGGGCAGTCTCGTGTAGTTTAGCGCAGAGCAGCAAAAGTTACGGCAGGGTCCGTCCTGGCCAGGCCAGTGCAAGCAGCCAGCCACGCCGGGTCGGAAGCCCGTTCAGCCTGTCTCTGTCAGTCCCCGGAGACAGCCGTGTGCCCATCCAAGGGGCAGCCCTTATTCCAGCCACCCTCCCTCGACTGCCACCAACAACCGCCCACCTGGGCATCACCCCGCCCCCTCCACCACCACGTGCAATTCACACTGGGGCCCGGGAACCACAAACCGTGAAATGTGCATTTTCAGTGGAAGTTTGACTGGAAACTCGTATTCTTGCTACGATGCTCTGGGGGTGTTATAAAAATAAAAACCTGATATTCGGCACGGGTGAGGCCACACCTGGAGCATTGCGTCCAATTTCAGGGCCCCCACTTCAGAAGGGATGTGGACAAATTGGAGAGAGTCCAGCGGAGGGCAACAAAAATGATCAGGGGGCTGGAGCACAGGACTTATGAGGAGAGGCTGAGGGAACTGGGGATGTTTAGTCTGCAGAAGAGAAGAATGAGGGGGGATTTGATAGCTGCTTTCAACTACCTGAAAGGGGGTTCAAAGAGGATGGATCTAGACTGTTCTCAGTGGTAGAAGAGGACAGAACGAGGAGTAATGGTCTCCAGTTGCAGTGGGGGAGATTTAGGTTGGATATTAGGAAACACTATTTCACTAGGAGGGTGGTGAAACACTGGAATGTGTTACCTAGGGAGGTGGTGGAATCTCCTTCCTTAGAAGTTTTTAAGGTCAGGCTTGACAAAGCCCTGGCTGGGATGAGTTAGTCGGGGATTGGCCCTGCTGTGAGCAGGGGGTTGGACTAGACACCTCCTGAGGTCCCTTCCAACCCTGATCTTCTATGGTTCTATGAAATATGGCTGTGTTTGGGTGCAGTCCAACAATAGAAAGGGCAGATTTCTGTCTAGTTCCTCATGAGTCCCCAGGATCTTGTGTATTTGCAAGTAGTCATAAAAGCCTGTATCCGAAACCATGGGGAGGCCATACGGCCGTGGCTCTCACCATTTCCAGATTACCGTACCCCTTTCAGGAGTCTGATTTGTCTTGCGTCCCCCCAAGTTTCAACTCTCTTAAAAATGGCTTGCTTACACAATCAGACGTAAAAATAGACAAGTGTTACAGCCCACTATTCCCGAAAAATGGCTGTGACTTTTTCTTCATTTTTGCCATACAACTGTAAAATCAATTGGAATATAAATATTGTACTCCCGTTTCAGGGTATAGGATGCAGAGCCGTATAAATAAGTCATTATCTGTACGAAATTTTAGTTTCTACCAATTTCTGCTTTTTTATGTCACCTGTTGTAAAATTAGGCAAATCTCTAGATGAGTTGATGTGCCCCCTGGAAGGTCTCTGACTACCCCTAGGAGCACACATACCCCTGGCTGAGAACCACGGCCGTAAGGCATGTGGATGCTAACACACATCCTGCTTATTCCTGCACAAAATTTTGCCCCAATCCCAGATCCTGCAAACGTTTCCCATATCAGGAACTGAAGATAGGTATAGCCACATTTCCGGGAAGGGTATATATTTCTACGGCGTCCTCAGTAGCTGATCAGCCCATTTCCCTTATAGATGTGCTGTTTGGCCACCCTAAATTTGAATACTTTGGTGGCATACATGGCTGGCTGGTAACCGAAGGCATGAGATGAAATCTCTCTCTTTTTTCCGTTCAGGAACCACAAGAATTGTGTCCTCCAAAACGTGGAAGGCTTGAAAGGACAGAGAAGGCCTATGGAGTAGGTCATGGCCTTCCCCCCCAGAACCCACCGTGTTCTGCAATTTTAAGCAAAATCGTGATTTTTCACAGTACCATTCTCTGTGCACCCTTTTCACCATGATTTACCCAGTTGTGTCCATGGATCTTTTGGGACCTGAAGCATTCTTCTCACAAGATAGTGAAGTTCAGTTTTGCAAAATATCCGATTTTTCTTTGAGATTCCAAAAGGCCTTTTTTCTGAGCTTACGCACTGAGCCGTTTTGGCATCACTGAGACAGCAGCGTCCCGTTTTATGTCTGCTTGCAGGTGTCCCTAGACCTGTACTGGCAGTTTGTTGTACTTCAGTAGCTCGGGAACACTCCAGCAGAAGCCTGGGTCTCGGTACCGTGGCCGACCAGTCCAAGAGGAAACGTTTCCACGGTGAACTGCTGGTTGGCATCCTGGAGAGGGCCAACAACCATGTGCAAGATCAAAGAGAGAAGGATTCAGGGCAAATGGAAGGGCACGGGCAGGCTGGGATGTGCTTGGTTGGACTCGGACCTGCAAAAAGCCTGGACTCAAAAATTCTTAACCTAGGGTCACCACTGAGTGTAGATGCTCCGGCCTGGGCTTTGAAACCCAGGACTGGAAGATTCGAGACGCACTCGGCCTGGGATTATATGGCTCTGTTAAAAGACCGAGTGTTTCCAGCAGTCTGCTCTCAAACTAATTGAGTGGCTCAAGAGGACATATCGTGGCCACTGCACCAGAAATTCACCATGCATCCGAGTGTGAGCCCTCCCACTGATAGCTTTCTGACAATGTGTGTGACACGTTTTTCTCGCATTCTGCAGGAATTCCTCTTGGGAATTTTGCTCACTCATACTGGGCTACGAGCAATTTTTTTTCCAAGTGCTCGAACGTCCACATGCAGATTCTGGCCTGGTCTCTCTTTAAAATTTGGCAGCATGCCTCCTTCAGTCAGCACATGTGTCACGGTTGTGGGTGTGAAGAATCACACCCTTAACCAATAGAGTTATAATAGCAAAATCTCTTGTGCAGACACAGTTAATTAACTTATTTAACACAGACTTAAGGTTGCCCCGTGATGCCGCGTGCCCTTCCAGAACGTGGACGGTGACTAAACTTAAAGCTCTGAATACCAGGAAATGACGAGTAAAAGTACATCCCACCCTTGCAAGGCAACCTTAACTCTACCCCCGCCCCCTAACCCTGGAGCTGCCGTTAGCCACTGGCTACAGTGCAGTAAAGGTGGTGCAAACGTTAATAAACTACCAAGGAAATGGGGGATTCTCCTTCTCTTGGAGTCTTCAAGTCAAGACTGGATTGTCTTTCTGGAAGCTGATTTTGTCCAACACAAGGTATTCAGCTCAATACAACTGTAACTGGATGATATTCCATGGTCTGTGTGATACAGGAGGTCAGAGTAGACAACCTGATAGTCCCTTCGGGCCATAAAATCCATGAATTTATAATAGAATCATAGAAGATCAGGGTTGGAAGAGACCTCAGGAGGTCATCTAGTCCAATCCCCTGCTCAAAGCAGGACCGATCCCCGACTAAATCATCCCAGCCAGGGCTTTGTCAAGCTGGGCCTTAAAAACCTCTAAGGATGGAGATTCCACCACCTCCCTAGGGAACCCGTTCCAGTGTTCCCGAATATCCAACCTAGACCTCCCCCACTGCAACTTGAGACCATTGCTCCTTGTTCTGTCCTCTGCCCCCACTGAGAACAGCCGAGCTTCATCCTCTTTGAAACCCCCCTTTCAGGTAGTTGAAGGCTGCTATCAAATCCCCCCTCATTCTTCTCTTCTGCAGACTAAATAACCCCAGCTCCCTCAGCCTCTCCTCGTAAGTCATGTGCCCCAGCCCCCTCGTCATTTTCGTTGCCCTGGGCTGGACTCTCTCCACTTTGTCCACAATCCCTTCTGTAGATGAGGAAGGACTAAGAGAACTAAGAGAACCTGCCGTTGTTTGTGTGGTGTTTCACAGACGGGAATCCCAGCATTTCTCCGCATCCCCTCCAGCTGTGAGCACTGGGCCAGGTGTAGCTGTACTCGGACGGTGGAGGGATTAGTTGGAGCAGCTTGGCAGAGCTGTGACTGTGATCTGCAGAGAGGTGCAGGTGAACCCCGAGGGACCAAGTCTGCCCCATTTCAGCGCTCAGTGTTGTAGGTTGTGTCTGACTGTGCACCAGGGCGCGTTCTAGCCAGGGGGATTGTCAGCACTCTGGTGGCAGACATGCTAGTGGTCTCCAGGCCTTAGTGAGGAGCAAGTGAAGGCAACGACTCAGAAGGAATCTCAGGGAGAGGGTAAAGCTGGGGTAACAGTTTGTACATCTGAGCTGGTTTGGGTGCAGTGGGCTCTGTGTTGGAGGGCTGGCCAGGGGCAGGCAGCGTCTGTTCTTTATGCCAGACCTGGACCCAAGTTTTGCCTTAGCCAAGAGAAGACCTTCGACTTTGTGCTGTGTTGCTCCTGTGCCCTCTTCTCGCAGCGTTGTGTGGCAGGGCAGGGCACGGGGCCGGTGTGTGTGTCCCTGGCGTGTCGGGGTGTTGCTGAAACAGGGCAGAGTTAAGGTGACATTGTGGGGGTGACGTGAACCTTAACGCTGCATTTCCCCTCCTCAGAACCAAGGGGACGGGAATCCTTACCCAGCGAGGCCTCAGACTCATAGGTCTCCTGCATGACGTCTCTGTAGAGGGCTCTCTGAAAGAGCAAGAGCCCCCCACTCAGGACCTGCTGCCCCACTCACAGCCCCACCCTTCGTGATGCAGCAAGGCCCGTTAATGAAGCTCTGGGAGGCCCAGAGCCTCACCCCGTTCAGAGCAGCCAGGAAGCATCAGGGTGAGGGGAGAAAGAGAGGTTTCAGAGGAACAGCCGTGTTAGTCTGTATTCGCAAAAAGAAAAGGAGTACTTGTGGCACCTTAGAGACTAACCAATTTATTTGAGCATGAGCTTTCGTGAGCTACAGCTCACTTCATCAGATGTATACTGTGGAAACTGCAGCAGACTTTATATACACACAGAGAATATGAAACAATACCTCCTCCCACCCCACTGTCCTGCTGGTAATAGCTTATCTAAAGTGATCAACAGGTGGGCCATTTCCAGCACAAATCCAGGTTTTCTCACCCTCCACCCCCCCCACACAAATTCACTCTCCTGCTGGTGCTAGCCCATCCAAAGTGACAACTCTTTACATAATCAAGTCGGGCTATTTCCTGCATAGATCAAGGTTTTCTCACATCCCCCCCACCCCCATACACACACAAACTCACTCTCCTGCTGGTAATAGTTCATCTAAACTGACCACTCTCCAAGTTTAAATCCAAGTTAAACCAGAACATCTGGGGGTGGGGGGGTGGGTAGGAAAAAACAAGAGGAAACAGGCTACCTTGCATAATGACTTAGCCACTCCCAGTCTCTATTTAAGCCTAAATTAATAATATCCAATTTGCAAATGAATTCCAATTCAGCAGTTTCTCGCTGGAGTCTGGATTTGAAGTTTTTTTGTTTTAAGATAGCGACCTTCATGTCTGTGATTGCGTGACCAGAGAGATTGAAGTGTTCTCCGACTGGTTTGTGAATGTTATAATTCTTGACATCTGATTTGTGTCCATTTATTCTTTTACGTAGAGACCGTCCAGTTTGACCAATGTACATGGCAGAGGGGCATTGCTGGCACATGATGGCATATATCACATTGGTGGATGTGCAGGTGAACGAGCCTCTGATAGTGTGGCTGATGTTATTAGGCCCTGTGATGGTGTCCCCTGAATAGATATGTGGGCACAATTGGCAACGGGCTTTGTTGCAAGGATAGGTTCCTGGATTAGTGGTTCTGTTGTGTGGTATGTGGTTGTTGGTGAGTATTTGCTTCAGGTTGCGGGGCTGTCTGTAGGCAAGGACTGGCCTGTCTCCCAAGATTTGTGAGAGTGTTGGGTCATCCTTCAGGATAGGTTGTAGATCCTTAATAATGCGTTGGAGGGGTTTTAGTTGGGGGCTGAAGGTGATGGCTAGTGGCGTTCTGTTATTTTTTTTGTTTGGCCTGTCCTGGAGTAGGTAACTTCTGGGAACTCTTCTGGCTCTATCAATCTGTTTCTTCACTTCACTTTGTCTCTGTCTGAGGGGTTGGAGCAAATGCGGTTGTATCTTAGGGCTTGGCTGTAGATGATGGATCGTGTGGTGTGGTCAGGGTGAAAGCTGGAGGCATGCAGGTAGGAATAGCGGTCAGTAGGTTTCCGGTATAGGGTGGTGTTTATGTGGCCATTGTTTATTAGCACTGTAGTGTCCAGGAAGTGGATCTCTTGTGTGGACTGGACCAGGCTGAGGTTGGTGGTGGGATGGAAATTGTTGAAATCATGGTGGAATACAAGATGTATAGTGCAGGACCCCCCACCCCCAATTTTCTGTCTCGCTCACCTTTGCACCCCATTTCCCCCCACCGGGAAGAATCTGCTGCCACCCCTGCCCGTTGGTACTAGACCCCTAGGGCAGCCCCAGGCTCTGCCAACATCAATTCCTGAGCCAGACTCCAGATAATTCAGAGAGGCCTCAGGGAAAGGGCTGGGGACAGGCACAGTCACATGCAGCCCCTCCGGCCCCCCCATTTCCCCTCCTGTTCACGATGGCAGGAGCTGGTCCAGCCCGGAGGGAGCCAACAGATCAGACTCTCCCAGCCAGAGCGGGAGGGAGAAGGGCCGGGGGGAAGGGGAGAGATGGGGAAAGAGGGAGAGAGACTCCCAGGACTCGAACCTGCCCAGACACATTGGTTGCAGCATCTCTGGGCAGATTCCCTTCCCGGTGAACAAGGTGAGGGGCAGAAAGAGGAGAAGCCAGTTCCCTCCTCTCCCTATTCCCCCCGCTGGGGTGTGGGCGGCCCTGGGGAATCCCCCCAAATGACTCCTGCGGTTCTGCTCTCTTCTGCCCTTTGGGTCAGAGTCTGTGTCACTGGGAGAGTTTCAAAATCTCCCTCAGTTTCGTGCTGCTGGGAGGGGGCTGGGGCCGGGTAATAGAAACGGGACCAAGCGTTTTCTCAGCCTGGCCCCAGCTACAAGGTTTGTCTGCAGGGAAAAGCCCCTGGGGGGGAACTGTGCTGTGAGGTGAACTCAGCCCTGCTCTGACTGCCTCCCCTTTCCCCCTCCCAGGCTGCCGAGCCCTGGCCAGGGCTTGCTCCGGCTGGTCCCAGCCTCCCCGGGGACAGGGAGCGGAAACAGGGGCCATGGAGCCCGCTCGGGAAGGGATCCTGGTCGGGAGAGAGGAGCAGAAACTCCCCAGGAGGGAGGAACTTGTGGGGAGTTTGGTCTGGAGGTGGGAGAGGGCAGGAAACAGCCAGGGGGGATAAAAGGAGGGGGCCAGGGTTGTCCCCGTGGCTGCTAGGGGACCCCACTTGTCCTGCTGGTCTGGCTTCTAGCCCGGGGCCCTCTGACCAGCAATCCCGGTCTGCTCAGCGTCGGACCCTGGTGGTGTGTCCCGGGCTCCTTCCTACCCTACCTCTCTGTCTCCTTGTCTAGCCCTGGTTTCCCTCCAGAGCTTCCTCTCTTCCCCCCCAGCTCCTTCACCCTTCGCAGGCTCCTGTTGGACTCCCCAGTGCGGGGCAGGACCCCAGGCTTCACCCTTCCCCGGCTCTCTTACTTGTCCCTGGCCAACTCCCTCTCCCTCCAGGGAGGGACTGCAGAGCTCTTCCTGGTTTAGACTCCTTGCCAGCCCCTCTCCCAGCTGCGGTTAGGCTTTATAATCCCTGGCTTGCCTCCAGGGGCAGCCCATATGGTGAATTGGCCCCTTCTGGCCCACAGTAACCCCCACAGGGCATGTGTGGGGTGGACACCCCATCCCAGAGAGACTGCTATGAAGGGGGCACCCACCAGTGAGGATAAGGGGAGCTGCCCCCTTCCCTCCCTTCCAGCTGCTGGCCACGGGGATTCCTACGGGGAGAACGTTGCTGGGGGCTCCCCCTCCTGTACTGGCCTCTGGCTAGCAGGAGTGTGGCAAATGTGAAGACCCCTCTTTCCCTTTCTCTTCTTGGAGGGGTGAGGGTCTCTCTCTTTCTCCCCTCACCCCAATGCCTCCTGGCTACTTTGAGCAGGCTGGGGGTGGGACCCTGCTGACTGTGAGCCTCCCAGAGTTTGCATTGAGTTGGCCCTGCTCCCCGGTGACTAGTGGGGCTGTGAGTGGGGCAGCAGGTCCTGAGCGGGGGGTCTTGCTCTTTCAGGGGCCGGTGACCTTCGAGGCGGTGGTTGTGTATTTCACCAGGGAAGAGGGGGCCCTGCTGGACCCCGCTCAGAGAGCCCTCTACAGAGACATCATGCAGGAGACCTATGAGACTGTGACCTCGCTGGGTAAGGGATTCCCGTCCCCGCGGTTCTTGGAAGGCGGAAATGAGGAGTTAAGGTTCACGTCACCCCCACAATGCCACCTTAACTCTGCCCTGTCTCAGCAACGCCCCAACATGCCAGGGACACACGCCCCAGCCCTGTGCCCTGCCCTGCCCCACAGCACTGGGAACAGAGCCCAGGAGCGGAATAGCACAAAGTCTCACGCCCGGGCTCGCGTCTGGCGTGGGGAACGGAAGCTGCCGTCGCTCTGACACGGAGCCTGTTCCACACGCACCACCACAGACGTGCAAAATGTTCCTGTAGTGGAAAGTGCCTGGAGCCCTGGGCCTGGTGCAAGACCGGAGGCCTGAATCAAAGTGAGCAAAAGCCCGTGCTGTGAACCAAAGTCAGGCCCCATCACAAAGCAGGTGCTTGCTTATGAGTTCACTGTCCGGTACGTGAACTTGGCCAAGGCATGGCTAGCATTGCAAAAACCCAGGCATTCCTAAGTAGTATTAGGTACTGGCTATTCATGTGAACACATTCCTGGGGGATGGGTCAGGAACACACCGACCCCGAGTAAGACAAGGGTGTGGGGACAGATGGCAGTAAACCTCTCCGAGCGCCTTCGTCACTGAACGGAGCCTGTGGTCTTTCTGGGTAGTGCTCCTGGGCTCTGCTGGGCCAGCGATCTGTGCGGGGCTGGTGCAGCGTATGGAGAGAGAGACGCACGCGCACGCCAGCAGACAACGGTTACCAGCCCTTCACCCGCTCCCTAAGGATTCCTTCTGAGTCATTCCTTCACTCCCCCTCGCTGAGCCTGGAGACCCCGAGCATGTCTGCCACCCGACAGCTGACCGTCCCCCTGGTGAGACCACATCCTTGTGCTCCTTCCTGGGCACAACCTGCAATGCTCAGCAGTGACACGAGGCAGACGGGGGCCAGCAAGCGTCCAGGCACCTCTCTGCATCTCCTGGCCCCGTGGTTCTCAACCTGTTAATCATTATGGGCCGCACATGGCCTGATGCTTCTTTCTCCTTTCCCAAAGGAATTAAAGGCGTCAATGATAGAATCTAATTCACTGGAGCTGTCCACACGCTGAGGGATATTCATACTCCCTTCCATTACCCCTGGCTCACTAGAGTCCCTATTTCCTCAAAGTGTGCTTTCCTGACATACAATATCTCTGACATACGGCATTCTGGGGCCTCTGCGCTCCCTCTTACTCCTTACTGTGTTGAACCCCACCAGCGAATACTCCCCTGTTCCAGCTCTCCTATGGCTCATAGTCTCTGGTCCTTTCTCTGCCAGAAAGAAGCATCTCTAGGGGGACTTACCCGCTGTCTGGAGTCTTCACTGTCTGGGACATGGAATTACTGTTGCTGTATTTTAGGAGGCCGTTTGATGAGTGTCTGGCTCTGTGTGATCACAGGAGGGATGGGGACTGTTAAATACCCCAAAAGCAGAGAGTCCAGCACCTTTGAGCAACTTGGGAGCTGGCCCTGGTGTTTTACTGCCTTAAAATGGCCTGGGGTTAAAATAATAGAACATTGTTTTCTGACACGTGTCCCATGAATTCTCAAGATGTCCCTTGTTTTCTTTCCCCCGAGCAGGGTTTCCAGTTTCCAAACCTGATGTGATCTCCCAGCTGGAGAAAGGGGAAGAGCCGTGGGTCTCAGGAATCCAGGACTCAGAAGAACCAGGGATCCTGAGAGGTGCCTGCCCAGGTGAGGAACAATTAAATCAACTCAAAAGCTGTCAGTGCCTGAAGGAAGGAGCTGGGATTCCCTGGAAAGACCTTGTGAACTCTCTCAGTTCAGGATTGTCCCCAGCTTGTGTGATACCCTCAGGGCAGAGATCATGACTTCCTGCCCATCCTGACTGATACCTGGCAGTAACTCCCTCCTGTCATCCCGAGTGTTTGGATAGAACATGGGAGCAGAATTGGTCCGTTTTCTCTTCCCTATGGGGGAAAGTTTGGGAAAAAAATAGGAACTACATTTCCCAGTCTCCCCAGCACTTACTCTGTTTTCCTCTCCCCTTTTCCGTTCCTGTTCCTGAGGTTTCTCTCTCTATCCCAGCAGGTGGTGGGATGGTGAGTGAGAACAGGGAGCAGACTCTTCAGCAGACAGATGCTGAGTAAGTGGGACCACACAGGATGGTATTGCGAAGATCCGAAGGGAATGTGTCCATAAGTCTTGAGCAAGGAAAATCTTGTGAGAGTCAGCACAGGCCAGAGAGGCAGCAGCCAGAGCAGCCAGCGGAGAAGGTGGATAAATCCATTAATTGTCGGGCAACTCACAAAGACCTCAAAGGAACCCAGCACAGAATCCTCACCGGAGAGAGAAAAAACACCGGCGCTGAGTGTGGGGGAAAAACTTCCGTAGACGTTCAACCCTTATTAGACATCAGAAAATCCATAGGCCAAAGAGATCATATGAATGCAGTGAGTGCGGGAAAAGGTTTACGTATCACTCAGAACTTGTCACTCATCAGCGAATCCACACAGGAGAGAGGCCCTATAAATGCTCCGAGCGCGGGAAAACCTGTCGCTGGCGGGAAAATCTTACTAGACATCAGAGAATCCACACTGGGGAGAGGCCCCACGAATGCCGTGAGTGCGGGAAAACCTTCATTTCTCACTCACGCCTTACTCAACATCAGAAAATCCACAGCGGGGAGAGGCCTTATCAATGCAGCGAGTGTGGGAAAAATTTCGGTCAGATCTCAAACCTTATTAGACACCAGAAAATCCACACAGGAGAGTGACCCTGGACATGCTGTGAGTGCGGGAAAACGTTTTCCCGGCAATCACACCTTATTATTCATCAGAGAACCCATGTGGGAGAGAAGCCCCATGAATGCCGTGCGTGCGGGGAAACCTTTGCAAGGCACCCACACCTTATCAGACATCAGAGAATTCATACAGGGGAAAAACCCTACACATGCAGTGAGTGCGGGAAATCCTTCACTCAGAACTCAGACCTTATTGTCCATCAGAGAGGCCCCATGAATGCGGTGAGTGTGGGAAAAGCTTCAATCACAGCTCAGCCCTTCTTGCACATCAGAAAATCCACACCGGGGAGAGGCCTTACAAATGCCGTGAGTGCGGGAAACGCTTCACTCACAGCTCAAACCTTAATACGCATCAGGAAATCCACAAGGGAAACGATCAACCATAAAATCCTTAGCTCGGGCGGACAACATGGTTTTCTTTTTTTTCTTTAATACTTTTCCTAATTCCACCATCACGCCCTTAAGGCTGCTGCACCATTTGCTTCGCCGTGAGCCCTCCGCTCACATAGCTGCCCATTTCTGTCTTTTGCAGCTCGCCCTTCTTTGGGGTGAATCCCATGGCCCTTTCGGTAAACTCCCTATGAGTCATGGGAATGTGTGTCCCTCCTACCAGGAATGTCCGTCTATAGCTAGTTGAAGTCACCCCTATCAACGTAAAATCTTCCTGGGCCTTAAAAAGCTAACTTTCTATAGCCAATAAACATATTTTAATGTTTTATCTTTACCAGTGAATTTGTCTAAAGTGTGGGGGAATCTGCTCACATTACAAAGGCTGTGTGTGCCCATTACCCTCTGATGGAGTGGTGAACTGATTACTGAGTTTACACCTAGTACATTTCTAGGGAGCAAGGCTGGGGCTGGGGGGGATTTGCTGGTGTCATAGAATCATAGAATATCAGGGTTGGAAGGGACCCCAGAAGGTCATCTAGTCCCACGCCCGCTCAAAGCAGGACCAATCCCCAACTAAATCATCCCAGCCAGGGCTTTGTCAAGCCTGACCTTAAAAACTTTGAAAGGAGGAGATTCCACCACCTCCCTAGGTAACGCATTCCAGTGCTTCACCACCCTCCTAGTGAAAAAGTTTTTCCTAATATCCAACCTAAACCTCCCCCACTGCAACTTGAGACCATTACTCCTCATTCTGTCATCTCCTACCACTGAGAACAGTCTAGATCCATCCTCTTTGGAACCCCCTTTCAGGTAGTTGAAAGCAGCTATCAAATCCCCCCCTCATTCTTCTCTTCTGGAAACTAAACAATCCCAGTTCCCTCAGCCTCTCCTCATAAGTCATGTGCTCCAGACCCCTCAACATTTTTGTTGCCCTCCGCTGGATGTTTTCCAATTTTTCCACATCCTTCTTGTAGTGTGGGGCCCAAAACTGGACACAGTACTCCAGATGAGGCCTCACCAATGTCGCATAGAGGGGGACGATCACGTCCCTCGATCTGCTGGCAATGCCCCTACTTATACATCCCAAAATGCCACTGGCCTTCTTGGCAACCAGGGCACACTGCTGACTCATATCCAGCTTCTCGTCCACTGTCACCCCTAGGTCCTTTTCCGCAGAGCTGCTGCCGAGCCATTCGGTCCCTAGTCTGTAGCGGTGCCTGGGATCACCCTGTATATCATTCATGAGTGGCTGTGACCACGTGGGATATGGGGGTCCCACGGTCCATGTTATACACTGGGGGATGTCACAGCCAGTTTATATCCATTTGCTCTTGTTCCCACACTGGGCCCTAACTTAAATAATTCCCTCCTTGGTGTTTATGCCTCTGATGTATGTACAGAGAGCAATATATCTCCCCTCAGCCTTTGTTTTGTTAGGCTGAACAAGCCAAGCTCCTTCAGTTTCCTCTCATCAGGTAGGGTCTCCATTCCTCTGATCATCCTAGTAGCCCTTGTGTTTTGATTTCTTTGTCCTAAATCAGACTCCTTAGGGCTAAAGATGAAATGACACAGAGCTGGAAGGGGAATTTGAATGGATCCCAAACAGTGTGATCATTCAGAGTTTAAATCCCAGTTTCCATCTTTTGACAAACATGTTTCTGAGCTTTTCCCCTGCAGAGGTGGGACTGTTTGTTAGGGGGCTTATTCCTTCACCCACTTACTTCCCTGGTCCTTCTCACATGAACAGAGAGCAACAATACCCGAAGTCCAAAGGTGCAAACAATTCAATGTTTATTGGGGTGAACTTCCAGCAAGCGTGATTCCCGTTTCCTTCCTTAGTGTCCCCCTTCCCAGCTCTGACACCACAGAGCCTTACACCTGTGTCCCTGTTCCCATTCCTGCCCTTAGCCAAACACGATTCCAATTTCCCCACCCCCATTCCCTGTTCCCATTCCCCCCCCACACCCACCCACTTCCTGATTAACTGCAGACTATATAGTAAAACTTGAGTTCTGCTTAGCTATACCTTAATCAGTCATTTTACTGACATTTAACCAACCAATCCTAACATATCATAACATGATTATTTAACCAATTATATCCCACCACCTTAATTAGTTTACACCCAACAAAATTAATTATACAGCAGACAGGAACAATCACAGAACCAGACAGAGATTATACAGACAAACAACAGCAAAGTGGGAACTATAATGACAAAACAATACAGAAGTGAGGATTTCACACCCCAGCTATTGATAAGTGAGTTCTTGCCAGACAGGATGCTATCAGACTAAGTTTCCTTTTACGTCTTCTAGGCACTTCCTTTTCTCTGGAGGCGATAGGCATTATCAGGACAGGATTGTATTTCTAACAGCCCAATAGCACCTTCTTTCAATGTGACTGGGTTGGAATGTGAGGATGTGACCATTCGCTTCCCAGCTTACGGCTGCCCCTGCTGCTTAGCCAAAGGCCTTAGTCCAAGAACAGGGCCTCAGACTGTCACAGTGAGAGAAGGACTTTACACTGGCAGACAGTGATTTTGATTCTTTCTTTTATACCTCTAGAACTAGCCAAGTGATAAGAATACACCTAAATTCTTAAAGTACAGGCCTTTGCAGACTGGCCTGAATATCTATATCCTAACAGTGTTTGCAGGTAGAAATGTGGGCCGTTGTTTCCATTATGATGATTCTAAACTTTTAGTAAATAACACAGGTAATGATAATTACAAGGCTTCACTGCATGAAGCAGATTTGAACAGAGTAGAGGAGAATGCAATGGGAGACTCTCTTGCCCTGATTCTGAGTCATCAGATATAACCTGAGGAGAGATTAATAAGACTGTGACTTTTCAGCTTGGAAAAGAGATGACTAAGGGGGGGATATGATAGAGGTCTATAAAATCATGACTGGTGTAGAGAAAGTAGATAAGGAAGTGTTGTTTACTACTTCTCATAACAAAAGAACTAGGGGTCACCCAATGAAATTAATAGGCAGCCGGTTTAAAACAAATGTAAATAAGTATTTTTTCACACAATGCACAGTCAACCTGTGGAACTCCTCGCCAGAGGATGTTGTGAAGGCTAAGGCTATAACAGAGTTCAAGAAAGAGCTAGATAAGTTCATGGAGGATAGGTCCATCAATGGCTATTAGCCAGGATGGGCAGGGACGGTGTCCCTCACCTCTGTTTGCCAGAAGCTGGGAATGAGTGACAGGGAACAGATCACTTGATGATTCCCTGTTCTGTTCATTCCCTCTGAAGCACCTGGCACTGGCCACTGTCAGAAGACAGGACACTGGGCTAGATGGACCTTTGGTCTGACCCAGTCTGGCCGTTCTTATGAAGTGCACACAGTCTGAAAATTCAAACCATTTTTAAGCTGCTGAGCACTCTGGCACTGATCCAGGAAAGTGGCTAAAATTATGCTTGACTTTAAGAACAAGTCGTCCCGCTGAATGTGCTTAAAGATACGCTGTGAGCTAATAAAACTGGCACAAACTGGGACAGGTACTAGCTACTCCCCCACTTTGAGAACATTGCATATGCTGAAATCAACTCTTCTCTCCGACTTGAGCAACGCCATTAACTTTAATTATTTCATGGTTGTAACTGATGGTATAATTTGGCCTTCCAGCGTACAGAATATACAATTAAAGATCCACAGGGTAGATCGGACAGAAGAATTTTTTCCCTTCAGTTTAAGTTGTCAAAGAAATTATAGGCCGTTTCATTTATTCTCTCAAGCCTTAGAAAGCCTGACTAGGGAAGTAGCTGGATTAGAGTCTGGTAGTGACGGTCCTGTGTGTGCCCCATCGCTTTCTACACTGCACATGAAATTAACATGGGCAATGGGAGGCTTTATATTGAAGTCAATTGGCTTTGGATCAGATATAGATTTTAATACAGATTTAATACAGATTTAATACAGAACAAACTATGGCTAATGGGTCAATTAGGCACTAGGGTCATCTGAAAATCTATTTGATTTAAACAGTATTTTCCCCAGCCCTCTTGCTCAACTTTATTGCAATGACCAGTTCTGCTGCCATGAGGAAAGGGGGCTAATGTCTATCACATCTCCGTTATTTACTAATATGTCTACACCATAGCTGGATCGGTGCTCAAGCGATGAATGCACGGGGGGGTGCATTTAGCGGGTCTAGTGAGGACCCACCAAATCGACCACAGATCAACCTCTGCTTGACCCCGGTACTGCACCCCGAACAAGGAGAGTAAGGTAAGGCGATGAGAGAGCGTCTCCCGTCAACCCAGCACAGGGTAGACACCGCAGTAAGGCGACCTAAGCTACGTCGACTCTGGCTGCATTATTCACGTGTCTGGAGCGGCGTAACTTAGGTCAACTTCATCCTGTAGTGTAGACCTAGCCTAAATAAAAGGAACCTTTCGCGATTCCTCAGAAATAGTCACCGGTTAGGGTTAGTCACCAAGGTAGAAGCTGGTTGTTCCTGGCAAAACCTGGCTTTCAGAGAGACACCTGGCAGAAGTCATGGGGGGAGGGGAGTTTACAATTTCCGGACCAAGTATTCGGTAAAGGGAGACCAGAAGGGACTTGAGAGAACTGGGGCAGCTGCTGGCCCCAAGGACCCCCCAGAGGCAGAGGAACCCGTGATCACTGCCGCTCCTGGGGCTTGTCTACACTAGAAGTGCTCTGGCGGGGGGCGTTATGTCCCCCACTGGCATGGCGGGGTTTACGCCGGTGCTGAGGTCGCTCAGGGGGCGGCTTATTCGGGTCCAGGGATCACGCTTGGAAGGATGGCTACAGGGGGGTCTCAGGCAAATTTGGGGGTGACTCTAGCCCCGCAAGCCCCTCCCCACAGTGCCACCCCTGCATTGGAGAAGAGGAGGATTGACCCCCTGGGCTTTATCGTCAAAGTGCACATCTATCCCTGAGGTACAGGCCCATCCA